GTGAGAGAGAACATCAATTGGCTGCCTTCTGCACTCCCCCTACTGGGGATCGGGCCCATAGCCTGGGCATGTGCCCTGACCTGGAATCAAGCTGGGACTTCTCAGTCCATGGAATGGCACTCAGTCCACTGAGCTATACCGGCTGGGCAATGCATGAGCTTTTTAAAAGTATGTTTTAATTTCTCAAATTATGGGTTTTCCTGCTTACCTCTTGACTACTGATTTTTTTGGTAGTCAGAAAGATATTTTCTATATAATATTAATTTATGAAGCTTGCTTGTGGCCTAGAAAGTGATCAATTTTTATAATTGTTCAAGTGTTCTTAAAGAATGTGAATTGTCCATTTGTTAAATGGAGTCTTTTAAAGACAATTAGAATCGTCAAATGCGCCCTCATTTCCTCTATGTCTATACTAAATCTCTTCGTCTATCCAACTTGCCAATGACTGAAAGGCATGTGAAAATCCCTCCCTCTGAAGGCGAATGTCAATTTTCCTAATAGTTCTATCAACTCCTCTTTGAGTTTCTCTAATTAAAGGCTACATATTAGGTGGATGGAAGTCTAGAATTTATATCTTCTGGTGGAGTGAGCATGACCATGTAATGATGCTATTCTCTAGTGATGCTTTTTTTTTTGGTCTTAAAGTCCATTCCCCCTCCCCCCCACATTAATATAGCACTATATCTTTCCTTTGCTTAATATTTATCTGTAGCATCTTAAAATATTTGCCCTGGCCGGTTTGGCCCAGCGGTTAGAGCGTTGGCCTGCGGTCCAGAGAGACCCAGATTTGGTTCCCGCTTAGGGTACGTACCTCGGTTGCAGTTTGTCTCTGGCCATGGTTGGGTCGTGCGGGTGGCAACCACTCTATGTGTCCCATTCACATCGATGTTTCTCTCTTTCTCTCTCCCTCCCACTCTATCTGAACAAAAAATGGAAAAATGTCCTCGGGTGAGGTTGAAAAAAAAATTAAAATTATTTTTCAGTTATAGTTGACATACAATATTATATTAATTTCAGGTGTACAGTACAGTGATTAGACATTTATATAACTTTTGAAGTGATCACCTGATAAATAGCTCCCATCTGACACCATACATAGTTATTACAATATTATTGACTATATTCCCTCTGCTGTACTTTATATCCCCGTGACTATTTTTTTATAACTACCAATTTCTTAATCCCTTCACCTTGGCAACCATCAATTTCTTCTCTGTATCTATGAGTTTTTTCTGTTTTGTTTTCTTTTGGATTCCACATATAGGTGAAATCAGATGGTATTTGTCTTGCTCTGTCTGACTTATTTCACTTAGCATAACAGTCTCTAGGTCTATCCATGCTGTTGCAGATGGTCTAGATACTAATTGTGCATTGTAAAAACACACCATTATATTTGCATCTGTAATATGGGAATTGTCCACTGGAGGGGGACCAACCAAAAGAGCCATTAGAATATTTGCTCCCTTTTTTTTTTTTTTTTTTTTTTGTGTGTGACAACTCAAACTTTGAGTTATAGAACCAGTGAATACTAAAGGCAAGGATACATTTGACAAACATGAGCTTGCCATTTTTCTTTCTGGGCAAAATTTCTTCGCTTTAGTGCAACGTGAGGTATTATTGGGCTTTGTCATAACCTCAAGTGAATGTGATTAACCCAGTCCTTTTAAAGTAATATTTCTAGGAATCTCTCTCGCTTATGTTCTTTTCCCTCTGATTCTCTTCTAGGAAAGTTATGATCACATGCAGTCAGATTGAAATGCAATTATTGAAAGCAGCCAGTAACATCATTCTTTGGCATTTCGAGCTGAAATGCAGCCTAGATTTTTCTTCTCTGTTTGCTCATTACCTTGCTTCCAGTGGACTTGCTGCCAGTTGAAGCAAAGGTGAAGACCAACAACTCTCCCTGTCTACATTTCTGATGCATAGTGTTGCAAACAATGACCAGAAACACTCAGCCCTGCCCACGACCTTCTACAATGAGAACACAGAGACTGCACCTTTAACAGTAAATAAATGAACATAAATCATTCCTTTTTCTAAGGTGGCTTTAGAAATATTCCTCCAGGATTTGACATATCACTTGGCTTGGAAGAAATAATATCTGTGTGCACTGGGCATGTTTTAGAACGTAAATGAAACATGTCATACAGAACTGCTTGTGACTGTAGCTGCTGCTACAAAGTCGGCACCGTCTTTGCCATGTGGTGAGAAGACTACTGGGAACTGAGACCCGAGAGGCAGAGTGTTTTCTCTACGTTGTTTCTCAAACTGCATGGACAGGGAATTAAATCCAATCAAAGAGAATGTTTTGAAGCGTACTGCTGCATAATTAATCTCTCTTGCTTCCAAGGGTGCGTTATGAAGAAAACGACTGCTGATAAAAGGAATAGCTAATAGATCTGCAAAGCGTTTTAGAGGTTGATTGCTTGCTAATTTCTTTTAACAGATTTCTTTGAATAAGCCAGTCAAAATGCCCCTTAACAAAGAAGAGATGGAGAATAATCAACTTTGAGTGTTTGAGTGTATTACTCAGTATCTTAGTTTCCTTATCTAACAGTATGTGGGGGGTGTGTGTGTGTTGGAGTGAGCAGCATGACTTCTACGTCTCCTTCTTGAACTCTAATAAGATGCTATCACAGATTCATATACAGATTCTGATTGTGCAGTTGTTCCGGAGCAGCCTGAGAATCTGCATTTCTAACAGGCTCTCCCGTGGTGCCCAGGCTGCTGGTCGATGGGCCACACTTGGAGTCGTGAGCCTCCAAGCTGCATCTCTGACACTTTATGTTGACTTAATTAATAGCAACCGTACTTCAAATGGATGATTTCTATATGAGTGATGATTCCTTCATATTATAAAACCCCATGCAGACCACTTTTCAAGTAAAGGAATCTCCAGGGTGAACAAAGACCTTAACTACTACAGGAATGGGTGAAGAATAGCATCACAGAGCTGGGCCAGGGTGGCTGAGGCAGAGAGGTACGTGGAGGGCACATGCTGGGCAAGATTTTGAAAAGCAACAGATACGATCTGCTGACAGTGAGATGTGGGGCGTGAGAAGAAGGGGGCGTCAAGGCTGATGCCCATGGTTTTGGCCTGATCAGCTAGTGGAATGGAGTTTCTATTTACTGAGCAGGGACCTGGGAAGAGCCCGTGTAGGTGGGTGGGTGGGTGAAAGAATCAAGAGTCTAGTGTTGACTTGAAGACGCCTGTCCCACGTTTAGATGGCCGTGTCCAGTAGGCTGAGGTGTCTGGAGGCAGCAAGGAAGCCTAGTGCTGGAAATGAGGTTCCAGAGCCATCAGCGTATACGTAGTATTTCCACTCATTATCTCATTGAAAGATCACAACATCCTATGGATTCAGTGATATCATTGTTCTTATTTTACAGATGAGTTGATAGGGACAGACAGAGGCTAGGTCACTGCTTCATGGCCCCACAATCACCAAGAGCAAGGAGGGGCCAAGGACCAAATCTGTCCATTGTGGTTAGGGACAGGAAGGTCATCCCCTTGGAGAGAAGTGTCAAGTAAGGGGTGCAAGCCGAAGTCAGACTCAGGGCCAGAGCAGCTGACCAGACGTGAAGCATTAAAATGCAGACACGTCTGGTTTATGTACCAGTCTCTTGTGAGTTTTTTCCCCAGATGCTGAAGAACTCGGGGTTGCTGACCCAATTCAGTTGCTGGACCTGCAGTGCTGGACAGACTTGGGCAGGGATGGCCCTGCCCTGTTATTGCTTGTTGTGAGGTTCCCCTGGCCGCCGGCGCTCTTTAATGTGTCTCTAATGGCTAAGTGCTCAGTGCGTGTTTGCATTGACCTGACGTGCGGTTTCCCCACCTGATGCAGAAGCGTCCTCACCCTTGCCGCGTGCTTTAGCGGATGTGTGCAGGCTTGGCAAGGGGGGGCCGTGCTGAGCGTCGATGCTTATTTAGCAGAGAGAGTCACCGGCAAGCTAAGCACCTGCTACCTTCTGGGACTCACTGAGGCACTGTGCTAACTAGAGAAGGGACATGCATGAATTCCTGGAACTGAGGAAGTGAAAGTGATACTTGGTCAAAGCAGCTACAGGATACTGTTTCCAGTTTGGAAAAGGCAGGGCAAACAGGCTAGTGGGAGCTCCCCAAGGGGCACATCCTCATGCTTCCCATGCAGGCATGAGATCCGGAGGGGTAACCTGGAGGATGCGCTGTGCCCAAGAAAACCACTCAAGTCAGGACATGCAGCCTTGCTAGATTGTGAGCCACCTGGAGACAGCAATTGTGACATAGGACCTTGGCTGGTGATAGTCAATGCTTCATAAATATATTTTTTAATCAACGAGCAGAGACTAAGTAGGTGTTCATGTTAGAGAGGCTTGACAAGATGAATTCCTAAGAGACTGGTTATGTTTCCTAAGCTCTGGTTTAAAGGGCAGTTCTTTCTTAATGTTAGCGAGCAGTAGCCTGTGGTTAGCATTTGATAACTGTCTTAGAAATTATTGTAACAGGGCTTAAGCTATTAGAATATTAAAGAGTATTAATAACAAATGTTGACTAGATTGGACAAACCAGAGACTTAGTTATCTGTGCTGGGAAGGAGCCAAGTGTGAGGTCCCTACTCCCTGCCCTGGCCCCCCCCCCCCGCCCCACCTGGTTGGAGGTGGGTGCGTAGGTGTAGCATGGAGCAGCTTCTCTGTGGCTTTGCTGATCTTATTTATGTAGGTTAGTGGAGGAAATGGTGCATTAACGAAAGGTCTGGAAGTGACTTCTAAACCCCATTATAGTTAAGTCCACAAGGCATGAGATCTCAGGAGACAGAACTCAGGGAACATTATAGTCAGATCACTGAAGTCCACCAGCAATGATGCCCAGTTTCTCTCCAGAATGTTGAGTACTTGCCCAGACTGAATTCCAGAGCTAGCAGGGAAAGCAAGGGGACTGGAAATCTACTCCCCCCGCCAGCTGACCCGGACTAGTGCAATCGGCACTTGTGCTGGGGCCTGATTTCCCACCCCTCACTCACCACTGTTGCTGCGTTTCCGCAGGTCAAACTTGCCTCCGTCAGCCTCTTCAGGAACCTCCACGAGGTCTGAAGTCTTGGAGAAAAGAGGGAACAGCATGGAATAAGCAATGTCATATCAGGGCCAATGGAAAACAGATTTCCATATCAGCAGAATGACTAAGGTAGAATGTGCTTGACACTGTCCTAAGAATGCAATCACTGCTGTCTTCTCTGGCTAACTTCAGAGAGGCTGTGTTTTCCCTCATGGGTACTGTCCCCTTTTTCAGGTGTTTGTGGCGGGGTCAGGGCTTGGCATGTGGTAGGTACTCAACGGGTGTTGGATGAGATGCCTAATAGGTTAGGGTTAGGCTTCTTCTCAGGAAGAGACAACAGAGAGAAGTCAGAATTCCAGCTCGTATCCTATCAATAAGAACCTTGGAGGGAAGGGGAGGAGGGCTGGAAGAGACAAACCAAAGAACTTATATGCGTAACCATGGACACAGGCAACAGTGCAGTGAAGGTGGGGTGGGGGGCTGAGGGGAGGGAGTCAATGGGGGAAAAAAAGGAGGGACATCTCTAAATCTGTATACTTTCAACAATAAAGACCAAAAGAATTTTCAATAGAACTATAGCTCTTTCTATAGGTGAGTTTTAAATATTCATTATAGAGAATAAGATGCACTATTGAGGGGTGCATTACTTAAATGATGTTTCCAGTGCTGCAAAAATCAACTGTTTTTGCAATATTTATTTTGCAATCCCTCCTTTTAAATAAGAGAAGTCATAGTCATTCTTCCATTTAGGTTACAGAATAACAACAACAACAGCAACAATAATAGCACTTTAAATATTCATGGTTTCTGATAATTTATAAGTTCTTTATATATATCATCTCATTTATTCTTCACAATAATCTTATAATAGACCTATTTCTCAGATAGCTATCTGAAGCCCAGAGAGAATTAATAACTCTACTTGAGGCCCCACAGCTAATAAATGGTGGATCTGGGGCTCAGACCCCAGGGGCTGTCTCTTAAGCACTCTGCTTCCTGCAGTGGTGTGCGGGAATGGCTCACGTGGTCTGCTGAGAGCCTTCGGACTCATCACCCTTGGCATCTCCAAACTGGTCACAGTAGTATTTACACCATGGGAATTGGCAAATGCTACATATTAGGGTCCAGCCCCAGCAGGTGGTTAAACATTTACTAGCACATCACTGATTTTGGATCAACTCTTTCAAAGGGTCAGATGCCCCCAATCCCATCTGCCTGGCCTCATCAAAGAGGAATTTCACGGGCCTCAAAGGAGAGTCACACTTTCAGAACATTTTATTAATGTCTTATCAGAGGAGACAAGGTTCCCTTCTTACTTCTCCTAGCCAGCTGTAGAGCACTTTCGCCCCATCCTCCAGAGACTACCTTTTATGACAAAAAACTCGACTTTAAGATTTTTTTCAGCCATTCTTACTTTCCCGATGCATCAGAAATAAGAAATGTCACGGGGTTTCTAAGTCATCTGCATCCTGCTCCTTTGAAACTCACTATTTCTGAACAAAAGTTGCTAGGATGTTAATTTAGTCTTATAAAACTGAAGATTATTTATAAATGAGCCAACCAAGTCCCAGAAAGCTCTTTGAGTTTGGTTTCGGCAGGCCTTACCCAACCACCAAGCCTTTTACACTCGGGGCAGCGGTTCTCAACCTTCCTGATGCTGCGACCCTTTAACGCAGTTCCTCATGTTGTGGTGACCCCCAACCATAAAATTATTTTTGGTGCTACTTCATAACTATAATTTTGCTACCATCATGTCTTAGGCGACCCCTGTGAAAGGGTCATTCGACCCCCCAAAGGGTCGTGACCCACAGGTTGAGAACTGCTCTTCTGGAGCATTTGAAAGGCCATTCAAGGAAACATCATAATTTAGGGGCAGACAGGCAGTGACTTCCCGACAACGTAAAGCAAATGCCGCTATAGCCCTGGAAGAAAATCGACCTGTGGGGCTGAGTTTTGCTGTGTGGGAATGTGTTAGCCTTAGGATATGACACCACAAGATTGACAAAAGGCTGAGATGCATTATAATTTGCCCCTGCAGAAAAGAAGCAAAATCATTTTAAAGTACCAATCAATTGTTTCTGTTTTCTTCCACCGAGTCTAGTTGGACTCCGGGGGCAGAGTAAAGTGACAGTTACTTAAGCACAATTGGATTAATCTTTGTCTCCCTGCGGGTCTCAGAACAACGCTGCCACAGAGCAAAATTCCAAGAAATCTTCACTGACGGAACCAGCGCCAGGACGCCTAAGTGGACTGTGACAAATGGCCACCTGACTGACACTTAGAGAACCATGCTAGTTTTTTGCCCCTAAAACCAGCCTGTAGGGTCCAGACATTGCTAGAAACAAAGCTATTTCAGACATGAAAGTGAACTGGATAAACCGCCACTCTGATGGTCTTGCTGCTGCTGAGCCCACGCTGTGGAGGCTAAAATGGTCAGTGCCCGCTGTGAGCGTTTCTGAGGCCGCCGCCCCCTCATCTGCTCAGCAGAGCTCCCAAGGAGCAGCCTCCTGGGGCTGCGGTGGGTCGGCCGGGCCATCGCTGGGGAAGCTTTTCTGCTCTTCCCTCCCTGGCTGGCTTTCCACCCATGCCAGCCCAGGCGGGCTTAGGGGAATGCGTGAGCTGAGTGGGATGAGGACAGGTTGGCTCACACCAGAGGTGTGAGAAAGGCCCGTTGGGGTGCAGGTCCAGGTGGATGGAGGTCTCCCTGTTCTGGCCAGCACTGCCTGTGCCTTTCTGTTGGATTGCTGGGTGATGTCTACAAAAAGTCTTGAGTTGCAAGGAAGGGGTGACTGCAGGCTGAGAGCCAGCTCTGCAAGACTTCGGGGGAAGTGACTTGTTGGCAGCAATGGTCCTCCTCACTCTCCTGAGGAAGGGATGTAGCGTGGTGCGTGGCGTCAGGGATGGGGTTAGCCTCTCATCTCTAGACCTCAGATCCAGTGGGAATGTGCGGATGTGTCACTCAAGGGCTGTTCACACGGAGAAGGAGTAAGAACCTTGCGAGCAAGCACGAGAGAATATGACAAAGAAGGAGGAGGGGCTGGCAGGGGCTGGTTTCTTGGAAATAAACTTAAGTCCTTTATTTTAATCCAGTGATTCTCAGATGTTAATGTACATCAGAATTACCTGGAAGGGTTGTTCAAACACGGATTTTTGGGCTCCACCCTCAGATTTTCTGATTCCGTCGTAGGTCAGAGAAAAACACACATTCTCCTTTCTAACAAGCTCCCAGGTAATGCCGCTGTTGCTGATCCTACATTGAGAAACTCTGATTGAACTCACTGCCGGCTTTAGGTTCATCTTAGAAGTGTAGAGAGTTTGACTTAGGATGGTGTTCATTCAAACATTCACCACATACTTCGTGAGATTCTACAACGGGCTGGGACTCTACAGTTCAGTGGTTCTCAAACTTTGGAGGGTATCAGAATCACCTAGAGCATTAATAAAGCACACAGAGGTCCAGGCTTGTTGAATGAGGACAGGGCCTTGGCCTTCATATTTTTACAAAACTCTTCAGGGAATTCTGACACTCACCAAAGTGTGAGTGTCACTGGCATAAAGTAATGGAAATAAGAAGTGGATCAGAGTCCTTGCACTTAAACAGCGTGTTCTAGTTGAGGAAGGGACTGCAGAAGAGAGAAATGAAACCAAAAAGTGAAAGTTTCCAAGCAATATGCAAATCATTGTGATTAATGAACTGGTTGCAATGGGAACCCATGGAAGGCGGTGCTCAGCCCAGACCAGGAAGAGTCACGATGTTTTTGCACAGAGGCAGAGACACGCTGTGGGCACTGCTCAACGACTGGAGAGGGTGTGGTGATCCAGAGAGTCGCAAACTGTCCCTGGAGCTGAGGGCATGACAATGAGGTGTTCTGAGGTCAGTCTTCAGGGATCCCTTCTTAGTTCTTCCTCGTTAGCCAAGCATTTCTCAAGCACCCACCAAGTGCCAGGCCTCGTTATAATGATATGAATAAGGAATGGGGCCCTGATGTAGAGAGGCTCAGCATTTAGTTCAGGAAGGAGATGCAAAAGCAGAAAATTGCATTGCAATGGTCTATATCTTATAAGAAAGAGGTTTTTGAAGGCTTGTGGGAGGAGCAACTCACCATGTTTGGGGAGTCTGAGAACTCTTCACAGTTTGTGTAAAAACCAAGTAGGGTCTTCAAGAATTTCAAGTGGGGGGAACAGCATGTTCTAAGGCATGCAGGTGTTAAAGAACTTGGTGATCCAGAGGAAGGAGGATCTTTAAAGTAGTGACAAGCCTCATTTGCCATGCTCAAAAGTTGGAGCAGAAGAGAGTCCATAGAGTGTTTTAATTCCACCAAGTCTTTCTTTAAAAGATAATAACACTGGACGTATTGCTAGGAGTAGACTCAAAAGGAAGAAGATACCTTTGTAATCTGGGTGAGAGATGATGAGGTTCAAACCTTGGGCATTGGTGAGAGAGAGAAAGGACCCTATTGATACACATTTGTGAGTTCTGAGTTATTGGACCAAATCATCGATGCAGCATGAGTTTAGTTTGGACATGCTGATTCTGAGAGATCTGTAGGACTGGTCTGGTCTGGCACTTGGAAAAGAGGTTGGGATAGGAAGTATCTAAGGGAGGCGTCAGCTTAGAGATTTATGGTGGTTGGACAAGAGGAATGTGAAAAAGGTAACCAGGAAGAGCTTGTAGAACACAAGTCTAAGCCAAAACAGACCCCTGGGGACACCCCAACAAAGGAGTGACCGAGGACATGACAGAGGAGACAGGATGAGCAGAACAGAGCGTAACCCTTGAGTGACACAGGTGTTTCCTACAGAGCTGAGAACAGACCTCGGTAAAGGTGGCCCTGGGAAATGCGCTTCTCAGAGAACATACTGACCTTTTGAATGGATTACAACCTTGTTTCATTTAATAACTCCAGTTCGGAGAAAACCCAGTAAAGACCTAGATGCTTAATGAAATTAAACAGCAGCTTCCACTTACTGAGTGCCAATATGCCAGGCCCTGTGCTAGGAACTTTACTTATACTATTATTATTATCCAACCCACACAGCC